CATTTTAATAAATTTAAATGTATAAGATTTAATATATTAGTAATTTATAGATTTAGAAGAGAAAATTGAAAAGTTATTATTAAACTGAGAGCTGAATAGACTTATCTTATACATTTTACTGGAAATTTTCGTTCATGTAGTATTATGATTTTGAAAAGTAGTAGGATACTGATACATACATGTAAAGAGTAATAAGTATATAGGTATAACTTGTAGCCTTTTCCATTTTGTTACTAAAACGGTTGGACATAAAATCTGAATTCCAAGAATCAAACATAATCTGATCTCAAAAGTAGGATCGAATTCGAAAAGAAATTTGCTAAATATCCGAATGGGTCCAAATTTTAGTATTTAGAATACCACAACAAACCTATTCGTACTGAAATATCTTGGGTATTGCATACATCCGAATCATATTTCTATACTTGAATATATTAGATACTTTTAGATTTAATACCAAAATCCAATATATATCTATATATATATATATATAATAGCTAAATAATACTCAAAACACCAAAAAAAATGGATACAGAGCTACCGTTTTGGTTCGCAGAGTCTAATGAGTCTGTTTTGTTGATGTAAAAAAAAACACACCAAAAAATACTTAAATATCTATTGATTACCCATCTAAATATTTAAACAAACTAATTCTTATGTTAAATTTTATATATTTTGGCATACACTACTCAAATTTATGTGTTATACATTATTTTTATTTTTTAAATTTTGAGAAAATTTAAAGTATATATGAATTTTAAAATTTTGAAAATAATTCAAATGGGTTATCCAAACACTTAAAGATCCAAACCGAATCCTAACCGAAATTTATAAATACCCGAATAGAACTGAAATCTTTACCTCCTAAATCAAAATACCCGAACTGAACCTGGATGTCCACTCGTAATTACCATATTTTTTCCTCTTTGGTGAGAGTTTGTAACACTTATTTCTTTTTGAAACATATATGTAAAATTTAGCAAACCTAATCAATGATTCTATTTGTTTGGTTAGTAGAATCCTCAATTCATATTTTTTCAGTTTAAACATGATAAAAGTGCATAGCGATTATTATTATTATTTTTTGTATACAACATAAAAGATTATTTATGAACTTATTAATAGAAGAGTAATACACACTGTTTTGTAACTATATACGTTTCTTCTATTTTTGTACGTAATATTTTTGAAGAAAATGAAAATCTTTATATTCTAATATCTGAAGTATACTATCTAGATTAAAATTTGAATTTGTTTAAGTTAGATATAAGTTTGATAATACTTTTGCTTCATATGTGACTGAAAATTAATGATAGCTTTATCTATTTTCTTTAAATAAAAACATTATTTTTCTTATTTGAATGAATGGGAAAATATATTCAACGCAAAAAAACCTTTTTACAATGATTGACTTTTTCTTTTATGAATTTTTAACTATCAAAAAGAAATAGACACGACAAAAGTAACTATGAAATCTCCTTTTTAATGATTTTTTTACGGAAGTTGTGTGATTGTTGTTATTAGGTTGTTTTATTATTATTTTTTTGCATGATTGTTAGGTTAGCTATTATGGCATTTAAGATATGTGATATTGTAGATATATATTGTTCTGTTTTTAGAATTTCTTTCAAGTGGCCAGTTTTCAGTGTATTATATATTTATATTTAACTTATTTGGCTTATTCGAATATTTGTTTTATTCAAATATTTGGTTTTCTATAAGGTTCTCACTTTGACATAAAATGTATACAATGGGATACGATGGTTTGTCATTTTCATGTGTATAAGTGGAAGTAACCACGTCCTAAATGATATTGGAGATATGTAATCTATCATAAGCACATTATGGTTTTATAATGCATGGTTTATATCTCCCTATATAATCTAGTAGAAGAAACAAAAAGTCATTAGCAATGTATTAATAAGAAAGAATAGAAACTGGTTTGATATGACATATAAATATGGTAAACCGTATGCAATGGAAGAGTGAACCGGTTTGGTTAGATTTTAAATAAGTGGTTGACTTATTTAATTACACTCAGGTTGTTTAAGAGTCGTAGATAATTATATTATGGAAACTATAATTTTTTTCCAGGCTACGCCCGAATTATTTTCCTATATTTTAGTTTAATTTTATTATAGAATATATATTTGACTATATATTTTACACTTAGACTGAATGTGCTATATAAATTATTAGATAAATTTACATTTTTTCTATCGTTTTTGGTGACTAAATTTTTGAAACTATTAAAAATCAGTTTTTCTTTCGTTAATGAAAATACATATAAGTTGGTAAACAAATTGAATAAAAATAAATTATAGCTAAAATTTAATTATTATTTTTATATCGTTTATTTATGAAAACATGGTTAAATTAATGTTTTATTCAAATATTTTCTGGTGCACAAAAAAAAAGTGCACCAGAAAAATTCAAACATTGTTTTAACGTTAAAATCAACCATATTTTGAAATTTTAACTATTTATTATTTGGTGATCATGAAATATATATGATTTCGTTTTTAAGTGTTAAGACAGTGGTGAAATGAAGAACAATTGAAATTTAAAAGTGATATACATTAAAACAATCCTGAAATTATGTCAAATACTTTTGTTTTCATGCAGAAAAAAAAAACTAAATATTAAAACTATAACAATATTCTCTAAGATACAAATTAGACTGATGGTAATTGTCTGTACTAGGCCTGGGCGTTTCTCGGTTCGGTTCGGGTATTTCGGGTTTCAGATAGTTTGGATAGGGAGTTAGAGGATCCATTTACTACTTGACCTATTTTTGGTTCGGTACGGTTCGGTTCGGATAGTTTCGGGTTTGGTTTGGTTCAGATAGAAAAACTAGGAACCAAAAACTACCCAAAAAATTTGGTTCTTACTTGGTTTTGGTTCCGGGTTCGGTTATTTCAGATAATAAATATCCAAAATATTTGAAAATAACCAAGAACAAAGTTTTTGGGTAATATTAAGCATAAACAACAAAGAAAGGTAACAAACTGAAATAAAATGCAAACACCATAATATAAATTTAATTGTTTAGACATCATCAAATATTAAGAATAATAAAATCAAAAAATTAAGGGATTAGATCTACAAAACCTTTCTGTTTCTCAAGAATAAAGGAACTGAATATTGGGTCATCGATACATATCTATAAACTTATGGCCTATGGGTATATAGTTTTTTTTCTTTAACATCTTATGGGTATATAGTTATTATTAACATATATCATATATGTATGAATTTTGTGTATATATATAATTCGGGTATCCATTCGGTTTTCGGTTCGGTTCCGGTTCGGTTCAGTTATTTCGGTTATAGAAATATAGGAACCATTCAGATATTTGAGTGTTTCAGTCCGATTCTGGTTTCGGGTAGTTCGGTTCGGTTCGGTATTTCGGTTCCGATTTTTTTGCCCAGGCCTAGTCTGTACACACAAACCATGGATTAATGTTGATTGAGTTACAAAACATGTTTATTTCTCCATTTTTGAATGTTTGTTTTCAAGCTTCGTAGTACTTTTATTTTTTAACTTGTTTATTTATTTATAAGAAAATGTTTTTTTCAGAATTTGTTTGGATTAAACAATGTGAAATAAAGCTAATTTACTAAAAATATTGTTATTTTTTCCTTCTAATATAAAATATATAAAATTAAGTAAACACCACAAAATATAATATTCAGTTTTACTTTTTTTTTTCCTGCTGAGTGTTAGCATTTAAAGCGTACATTACTAAATATTTTATATGTTACTATATTTATTGATAAGTAGACATGCTATATGAAAATCTTAAAATATTTTTTAACATTAATTTGTATATTAAATTAATTAATTATATATTTAACAGAGTGTATTATATTTTTTCATTGATCTTGTTAAGTGATACGTAAAAAAATTCGCAAGTAAATTTCATTATTTTTCTACTTATGATTTTTATTAAACCAATATTTACATATAAAAGAGATAGCATGTTTATTTAGTTTAACTAAAATTAAAAAAAAAAAAGAAAAAGAAACCTAATCGATTATGTTGGTTTTCTAACTAATCATCTAAAACACGACCAAGAAGACACTAAACTCTTGTAATCAAACTTGCCATTCAAGAAAGAAAGCATCACGACCTTCTGGTTCCTCACCTATTGCTGCACTACTAACACCAAACCATCTGATGCAAATATACTCCAGCCAAAGTTTCGACTCCAAGCTGGTGGTTCTCACTCCACTCACCAAGCCCTTCTAAAATCTTTGGATTAATAGTTAATACCTTATCTCTTCCCTGTTATCCACAGATCATAATCGTTAACACTTAATATTCATTGCCTGGATTGCAGCCAACGTCTCTGCACCGTCCTTAACCACAACCTCACTGTGATTGTTAATAGAAAAATTGAGGTAATGATAGAGCCATAAAGTCAAATGATAAATGAAAGGAACCTTCTCCATTCTGCAGTGTATTGCTTTGGTATAAATTGTAGCTTCTTGTTTCCATCATTGGTGGCAGCATCGAGATCCTCCTTTGCAATCATGCTGCAATTGACGTACCACTGAGGGCTTAATCATAGGCTCAATAACATCACTGGTTCTTTGGCAAAGACCAAGCCTCATTTCCTTGCTTTGTGCACCTCTGTACAGTCTCTGTTTAAGTCGTCATCCTCAGCCTGTTAATCACAAATTTGCATCCCCTTTGGGCATCTATAAAGAGCTAAATCATGCTTTGAAGCATTTTAAGTTCAAGAAAAGAAGAGGGTCTAAACACTTAACATATACTTGGTCAGGTTGAGCTCCAATCTACCATATTGGTTGTGGGCAAGATAAAATCCTCATTGTAATCAGTTTGTTTGCATTGGAGATAAAAAAAGGCACTCCATCCGCTTTGGACTCGTTTCCCATGTCAGGTTCAAGAGCCAAAACTCTATAATATAAGATTTATAAACGAACATGTAAGAGTTATGTAATCTAATCAGGAAAATATGCCAGCAAAAATCCACCTCCCATGGAATCATCTTCGTCAAGGTCATCAGGAAAATTGTTGCTACTACCAAATTTTTCTTGTATTTCAGAATTCAAGTCCTTCAAATCCATCATCACATCTTGCAAGTTATGTACCTGTTCAGAGTTAGTATAAGGGGAAACAAAATTTAACAGTGAGAAGATTCAAATTAAGAGATAAACACCAGTATATGGGAAAATCACTGAAAACGTACATCCATATCTTCATCTTTTTTACAGTCTGCATCATTCCTTTTCAGCGGTGTCATCTGCAGATTTTAGTGGTCATGATTGGGTGGTATACAGAAAAATCAGTTCCTTCATGACTCACATTAAGTAGCTTTTCAATCTCATCTCTTTATGCACAAATAGCCAATCTGGACCCGAGCTTTCAGCACAACATATTTAAATTAAACAAAAAACGCAGAATGAAAAGACGCATTGAAAACCTAAACCACACAAATCCATTGTTCTGGAGCTTACACTTTGAAGAAAGTAAAACTTAGCTGTCCGTAAACCACTGGAAAACAAATAAAAATCAAGTGAAGAAATAGAGAGGAAGTACTGATACCAACAGATAAATGGAAACATAGAAGGTCCAAGGGAATGATGATTGGTTGGATCATAGTCCGCAGAAATTTGGTGGTCGCCATGGATGCCTGTCAACGTTTGAGATCCCTCTGAAGCTTTGAGGTTTTAAAAAATCTCTGAGGACCAAAGACGATCGAGATCAGTGAGACAACGATTGGCGAACGCCCCCTGATGCACTGGCTGTTGATTCAGTGAGCAGAAGTGGCTAGAGTCGTAAACAAAAAAGAATCCTACCTGTTCGTCTTCACTCTCCAGACCATTCAACAGCATCTCCACTCTCGAGAACATTCATGAGGCTTCATCTTGCCGTATTCCGTCACATTAGTTGACGAACTTAAAAATCAACTTTGAATTCGTTCATGGCCATGTATGCAAAGTTGGTGAGAAGAGAGGAATCAGAATCTTATTTATAGAGCAAAACTTGAGATGTGAAGAGAGACATCATTTTGGGATGTAAAATAATGATGGAAGTCATCGCAATATGTCCTTGAGAGAGTTATCTTTTCATTTTGAGGAGAAGAAAAAGAGAAGAAACGACGAAGAATAGTTGGAGGAGAAGAAGAGGAGAGAAAACGATGAAGAACAAGGATGAAAAACTTTCATCGTTTGGTTTATTGGGCTTAAGGGCATCCCATCAGTGATCCTCTAGTGAACCCCCTTTTTATTTTATTTTTTTCGTTTGAATTTTCTAAAAAAAAAAATTAATAAACCAACCAATCTCAGGGCGCCACGTATCAGTGGGGTCCGTGATTTGTCATGATACGGGTTCATAGCCATGAACTCTTTTGATGCAGGTTCATAGAAGTGTATTTTTATATTATTATTTGTTTTCGATTTGCGTGTGAACCCCTACTGAAAATTTTCAGTGGGAGTGCTCTAACAATCTGTCTCATCAAACAAATCAGATAATAGAAAAAATAAGCTAACATTATCTAAAGCTTTGCTGACGTGTTCGAATGCAGATTTTTTATTGGATAATTATTGTTGTAGATGAGGGTGGCTTAACTGATGCTTTTTATTTATAGTAAATATAATGTTGTAACTCACTAATGCTGAAAAAATAATGTCATGTTTTAAATTAATAATTTTTTAGTAAAAGTCTGTTTTTAAAAAAAATCACACATAAATCATTTAATATATAAGATAATTAGAAAAAAATAAATTAATAATTTAATATATATGTTTTACCCAAAATAACATAATACTCCATTTACTATAGTACTTTACATAATATTTAATAATATATTTTTTTATATTTAATATAAATGTAATTATTACCATACTAATATATTTTTTTATTCCAAATATCATCGAAACGGGGGTAAATACACGAGCACGATCTCTTCTTCCCATGGCTCAGCGCGACGTGACACTGGGCGTTCCGTTCCCTTTCTCCTCAAACGTTAAGACGTTTCTATTTACTTCTCAAAAGAAAACAAATCAAATCGCGAAATCCAGTTCTCACTATAAAATTCGATTCATCTTCTTCTTCTTCCACTTTCCATCGCTCTTTCAATCGGTAACCTTTTCACCTCTCTCTTCTGTTGTTGTAAGATAGCCAATTCGATCCCTTAATCGACTCCTCGCTTTTTTTTTAATTGATTCCGCAAGCTTAGATTCAATAGATTATCTCAGCTATGTGTATTGTGAGATTTCGATTAGTGGCTAAAACTCTTGGACAGGTTCAAAAATACTGTTGATAGCTGCTGGTTAATTTTGATTGATGTGAAGAGATGTTCTTGCATGATGAGGTTTGTTTGTTCATTGTTGTAGAAAGAGTGTGGTCATTTTGGTTCATAGAACCATTGTCTGGGGGAATTGTGGAAGATATGGTGGATGCAAAGTCATTGGAAGTTAGTTCGTTGAGCAATGGTCATGTTGGAGGAGACGTTTTGCAGAATGTTGGCGTCACGGCTTCTACTAAGTTGCTCAAGTTCAAGCGCCGCAAGGTCTTTGCGAATAGAGACTTCCCTCCTGGTTGTGGTACCCCTGCCATGAGGCTTAAGGCCACAATGCCTGCACCCAACGGGGATCTTACTGCTGCTGCTGCTGATGATCACCCTAGTGTTCCTTCATCTGAAGCTAACATGAATGTTGCTAACGCTGATGACCGTAGTGTTGCGTCTTCTGAAGCTAAGGTTGAGTCTTCAGCTAAAGAGGAAAGAAAGTCTGAACAGCATGATAGGGAGCTTGTGGTATTTAAACCTCATGAACCGGATCCAAAGAAAGATGAGTCTGATGAATTGACGGTGTGTACAAGTGAACGACATGTTGATCCGGTGGCGGTTAAGCCGTTGCGGATCTGCGTGCCAGATGGAAATGATAAGAGTGCGGTTAAGGCATTGTCGTTGGAACCAAAACGAACTCATGGTGCGGTTAAAAGAAAGGCAATTAAAAGTGTTGCGTTTCATGAACCATTGAAGGTTGCCAAAAAGATGAATATTACTTATGGTGAAGGTTCCAAGATGAAGAAGAATAACTTGTATTCACGTGAGATAGCAAGTCCAGATAGAGAGCAGCTACCTCGACAGCCTCGAACGTTACAAGTCGGGCTTCCTCCTTCGCGTCCCAGTGGCTCAAGCAGCAGCAGCGGCGGTGATAGCCGGACCAAAGTCAAGGAAACACTACGTCTTTTCTATGGAGCTTGTAGGAAGCTTCTGCAGGAGGAAGAAGCAAAGCCTGTGAAACAAAAGAGGTTCAGAGTAGACTGCGAAGCGGCCAAGATTCTCAAGGAGAAAGGGAAGTATCTCAACACTGGGAAACATATCATGGGAGCTGTCCCTGGGATTGAAGTTGGTGATGAGTTTCAGTACAGGATGGAGCTGAACATTCTTGGTATACATAAACCGAGTCAAGGAGGTATAGATTATATGAAGATCGGTGATGAAATATTTGCAACGAGTATTGTAGCCTCTGGAGGGTATGATGATGAGCTGGACAACACTGATGTCTTGACCTATACGGGTCAAGGCGGAAACGTGATAAAGAACAAGAAAGGAAAGGAAGTACCGATGCCTGAAGACCAGAAACTGGTAACGGGGAACCTCGCGTTAGCAAACAGTGTGAACAAGAAGAACCCTGTGCGTGTCATTAGAGGCAACAAGAAGGCAGTTTTGGAATCATCAGGAGATAAGAAAGGTAAAAGCTATGTTTACGATGGATTATATGTTGTGGAAACGTTTTGGCAAGAGACTGGAACACACGGGAAGCTTGTCTTCAAGTTTAAACTTAGGCGCTTACCTGGACAACCCGAGCTTGCGTGGAAAGTGGTTAAGAACTCAAAGAAGGCAGAAGAACGTGTAGGTCTGTGCAGGATCGACATCTCAGAAGGACATGAGAGACTACCCATTTGCGCTGTGAATGAGATTGACGACGAGGAGCCTCCTTCATTCATCTACACAGTTAAAATGATTTACCCTGACTGGTGCAGACCAATACCTCCAAAGGGATGCCGTTGCACAAGACGCTGTACTGAAGCCAATGACTGCGCTTGCGTGGCGAGAAACGGAGGAGAGATACCTTACAACTACGATGGAGCTATAGTCAGTGCAAAGAATCTGATCTACGAATGTGGCCCGCTCTGCAAATGCCCTGCTTCTTGCTACCTAAGAGTCACACAGAGAGGGATCAAGTTCCCGCTTGAGATTTTCAAAACCGAGTCAAGAGGATGGGGAGTGAGATCCCTTAGCTCAATCCCTTCAGGTAGCTTCATATGCGAGTACGTAGGTGAGCTTTTAGAGGACAAAGAAGCTGAAAGAAGAACAGGGAACGACGAGTATCTCTTTGATATTGGAAACAGATACGACAACTCTATAGCTGAAGAGATGTCGAAGCTAATGCCTGAGACACAGCCAGCCATGGAAGGAGATGATGAGATGAGCGGATTCACCATTGATGCAGCAAAGAAAGGGAACATAGGTAGGTTCATAAACCATAGCTGCTCACCGAATCTGTACGCGCAGAACGTGTTGTATGATCATGAAGACACGAGGATCCCTCACGTGATGTTCTTCGCGATGGATAATGTACCTCCGCTTCAAGAACTCACGTACCATTACAATTACATGATCGATCAGGTACGTGACTGTAATGGTAATATCAAGAAGAAAAAATGCTACTGTGGTTCTTCTGATTGTACCGGTAGGCTCTACTGATGGAACTCGTGTCCATGTTTAAGTCAGATTCTTCTGTTCTTATGTTTAGCTGAAGCAACAGTATATGTTACAGTTAGTGTTTTTATTCAGATCATTGTTGTTTAATGTTCACTGAATCAGCAGTTTATATTACATAAAAGTTCGAATCAAGTATCTCTTTGGTATCAGATCCAGCTTTAAGTGTTTTTACAAATCAAATCGGGTATGGATTCAGGATTTCTTGTTCAGATTCAAACAAATGCACATACCTAGCATACTAGAATTGTCGAATAAATAGAAATGGTGAGGTGAATAGAGCGTTTGGGGTACGCTTAAAAACAGTTATGTTTTGAACACACCTAAAATAGCGAAATCACTTTTTTTTTTCTCTAAAAACGTGTATATCCGAATGGCGTTTTGAATGAAACTGTACAACACACAAGCTTTATGTATTTATGGATTCAGACTCGATTGTTCTTGCCTGCTCCGGTTCTCACTTTCAGCATCTTCTTTAAAGTTATCTACACTGTTTATGAATATCCCTGGCAAAAACAACAAGAAACAGGTTTCTTGAATTTAGACAAGAAAACTTTCTTCTGCGGATACTCTAATTAAAGAATTTGACATTTGCTTTACCTATGAACCATATTGCAGCAGCTAAGAACAGAACCGATGTAAGAATCAACGCGGTTTTTCTCCAACTGTTGATATGATCCTGCATATACAAACAACAAGGGGACATTTTTGGGGTTTGCAATCTTGGTCTTCTTCCAGAACTGGAGATGAGAAGAAAGGTTGTTTTCTACCTGGACTATACCAACAAGAGGTGAAGATGGAACATCGCCAAGTATGTGAATTGCGACCGTGGAGATGGCCATTGATAATGGTCTTAAACTTGGTTCCACACAATGCAAACACACATAGTTCACAGGAGCCTGAAAGACAAAAAGGTATCTTTGATGAGTGATATACATTACAAACACTGCTAAAAGTTCAAAACTTACCTGTGTAGCAAACACAAGAAGCTCTCCTATGGCGAAGAGAGCTATGAAACCGTATAAACTCTTTAAGGTAAATGCAGTAAAGCAACATATCGCCCCGAGAAATGTTGCTCCAGATAAGAGCTTGAAAGCATTTGGTATTGTAGAGGTGACATGATCGAGCATAAAACCACCAGATAAAGTTCCAACGATCCCACAAACGATGGTTACTGCCCCAAAGATCATATCAGCGTTTCTCTGTCAATACAAAACAAAGTTTGATTCTTCCATGCGATCTCCAAGAAGATGAAAGAAGACTGATAATAAAATCACTGTTTTTACCATTTTATAAATGTTATAACCGGCCTTTGGTCCCCAATATGAATATGCACCAATAACAAAGTTGTACGCTACATAACCTGTACAAGACAAGTGTGTATCAATCAAAGAAGATGATAAGCAAGAAGAATAAAATGGTGAGAGTGGGGGAAAACAACTACCTAAGACATTAACAACAAAGACCCTTTCTTTGCATAGGACTTTCATGTCTCTCGCAAATTGAGTTATTGATTTCCAAACTGAGTTCGTGTAGCTTGACCTGCAACAATTGAAGTAAAACATTTGATAACTGTATAAGTATATGGAAGAAAATGAAGATAATGAAGTCAACTCACTTATACTTTTCAATGGAGACCTGAACTTCATCATTCTCAATCGCATTACCAGCTTGAAGATGGTTGTTGTTTTTAGATATCTCTGAAGACATTACTTCAATTGATCGAACCGTCTTTATCGAATCAGTAGAAGAAAACCCTGTTTTGTTTCCTCTATTGTCAGATCAATGTAACTTTCACAGATCATCATCTCGCAGAAGACATGTACTGTTTTCTAACCTTTTAACTGCAAAGGTTTCATCAAGAAACCAAGAACAGCAAATGGAGCCATTAAAACCGCTTCTCCCCAAAACGCATATCTCCAACTAAAATGTTTTCCGACCTAAAAAGCAACAAGGAGGAGTCACGGAAAGCGTTTAGAAGCCAAAATGTACTGACATCATAGAATTACATACGTATCCGCCATAGACATAGCCCAGAGCAACACCACTTGGTATACACATGTAAAACAGTCCAAGCCATGCAGCTTTCTGAATAAACCATTTCAAGAAAAGAGAGTCAGAGATTGTGCATATGACTTCATAGAAAGTGCAAACAGAAACCTGCTTATGAGGAGCCTTATCATCTATAAATGGAGCTGCAAGACTAATGAAAGATGCTTCACCTACACCAACAAACCTACAAATATAATAAAACTCAATTTCTTGGAGCAATCCAATCATAAATAACAAAAGTAAACCTAAACTTACATGCGACATAAGACGATAAACCAAAAGGCAAAGGAACTGCCACAGCCAAGAACTGCAACAGTCCAAACAGTTAAGCCTACTCCAATAAGTCTAAATGGATTGAAGCTGCACTAGAAACAATAAACCACTTCAATAAGCTTAATCTTTTGCTTAGGCATTAGAAGAGGGAGAAGAAACAGAAATGAAAAGCTTTCCTAACCTCTTTGCCAATGAAGCAAAGATTGGTGATGCAATAAGAAGCCCAACCATGAAAGAAGATGACAAAACACCATCTTCAAAATTACTTAGGTTAAAATGTCCCCTAAATCAGAATAAAGTTGTAAAAAACTTATGACCATACGATCTCTATAATATTATTTGAGGAGTCAGTTTCCTAGGTGTCGCGCTCACGTTAACTATCGCGATGGTTGATTACATAGATACCCTTAATGAATAATTAGATTTTAAAATTATTATTAATTTTTTATTTAGTTTCTTTTTTACCTTTTTCCAAATAACATATATAGTAAAAAGGAAATATTTCTAAAATTTTAAAACAAATTAAAAAACGAAAAATATATGTAGATTATATGACTTTACTAAAAAGGAAAGTTCACAAAATAGTAATGCCTCATTAATATATATTTTTAAATAACAGAAAATATATTTTCACAAAATAGTAATGGCCCATTAATATATATTTTTAAATAACATACAATATATTTTCAAAATAATAAAAATATATATGTTCATGAACATTCAAAAATTAATCAGTTACACTTTATTTTCTAATATTCTTTAGAAATCAACATATAATTTGATAAATATTATGAAAATACATGTATATTTAAGCGATAAATAAACTAATTTGATTTGACTTAACTAAAATAAAGAGTAAATAAATATTATGAAATACATGTATATTTAAGCGATAAATAAAATTAATTTGATTTTACTTAACTAAAAAAAGTAATTATATTTCAATTTTAATTTAAAAATATATTTAACTCAATATACTCACAAAATGAATGACTCGACTAATCTAATTTATATCCAAAATAAAACATCTAACTACAATAAAAACATATAATAATAATAATATTAATAATAATAATAATAATAATAATCTATTTAATTTTATACATATAAATTAGAGATTGACTCAAATCATATTTAAAAGAAAAAGAAAATATTAACCAATTACAATTATCATTATATTTTCATGCATGAGACTTCAAAATATTATCATTATATTCATTTATGTAATTTTGAATCAAAAACTTCAGCTTATTATTTATTTCATTTTAAGCACGATATATATTAAGTTATACATAATTTAACTATAATATATTTACATATCTAAGAATATACTAATATATCTAAGACAATAACCAAACGAAATGAAAATAAGAAATTAATCAAAGTTTTATTATATTTAGAATAGAAAATATTATAGCTGAATTCGAAAAATAGATATTATCCAATATACCAAATTGACAACTCAACCGACTATTGATCCAAAAAATAATTAAACTGACAATAATATATCAAAAGTCATATGTATAATTAGAATAATATAATATTTATTAATATGAATTATATATAAATTTATTCAAAACTAAAACTAAATATCAATCAATTATTATAAAATTTTATTTTTATGAATTTTCATACCCGTGCATGAGCACGGGAAAATCACCTAGTATTAATAAAATACAAACACTGCATAGGTATTTTAGTTCTTACTGAATTCCAGTTGCAGGGGTGCATTTGCCCTTATCATTACAACTCTTAGTACTACCATTAACACCATTGCTTGCTATCGCACCTCGATCCATGTAGTTTAACAAGTTAATGATACAAAAGATCACCAGTAACCTGGAAAAGTTCAATTTGGACTACATAAATCATCCAGCAAATCTATAAGAATCTGTTTGAAAGTCCAACCCAATAATAGAAACTAAACTAAAATATTTAACTTTGATTACGTACAGAACTGAAAGAGACGCAAGTAGATTAAATACCCATAGCAAAATTATGGGAAAAGCTTTCAAATTTGCATTGTTTTCTTCAGATTGTGGTGAAGAGAGAGCTCAAAACTAAAGAGTAAGTAAATAATGATAATATACCAAACGGGAGAGAGAAAGGATGGTTCCACGATTTCTAAGCTTCGAATAGTCTCTAACTCTCCAAGGGGAGTCGAAGAAGAAGGTGAATAACATCTTGACGGCTCTGTGGCAGGAGGAAGACAATCTTCTTCTTTTGTCACCATCTCATTCCTCGAACAAAGATCTTGGAAATGAAAAGAATCACAAAAATCATAAAATTGGGACTTGTAAGGTATCATGTAAACTAAAGCAACTCCACGTGAATAAAGATATATTCTTTCTCTTTATCATTATCTGGTTTTGCAGAAAGAAAAAGAATCAAGCTTTCACCAACTTGAAAGGTTACCAACAGATTCCTGAGATGACCCAACAAATATATTATTATTATCTAATTGTACAATTTCAAGAACAATGATTCTTAATTTGAAAAAAAAAAAAGAAAGAAAGTTAAAACTCTTTTGACTCAAGCAGCCAAAGAGAGTTGAATGAGAGAAGCTCATCATGTATAATATAAAAGAAGACAAAGATCAAAAGGTTTCTTCTACATTTTTAACGCCTCATCTTCCGCAACTTTCTCTGTCTCTCTCGCTCTTCTTCTTCTGCGATCAGCCTAGCTTCCTTTTCATCTTCCTCCCTTGCAATTCTCGCACTGCATTGACCAAATTCAACACCAACCGTTAAGCAATATATATAAGAAATGAACGAAACAAATGATCAAGATATTGATGTTACCTTCGTCTCTCTTCCTTCATGATATCTTCAAAGCCCGCTTCCATGCCTCGGTCATCATCGTCACGTCCAGCATAACGATCAGTACTGAAATTGAAACAACACAAAACTCAATAAGTGCCAAGAGAAAAACTTATGAAAATGGGAATGGGTGTGAGAGTAGGAAGCAGTACTTGAACATTTGTCTAATCATACTCAATGCCTTAGCATCCTCTGACATTACTGCAGGCTTCTTCTTCTTCAGTGGTCTCCGATCATCTATATCACGTTGTGCAGGTCTCTTGGGCGCCGGTTTACTCATCATCTGTGCAAGTTAGTTCACAAATTAGTGCCTTTGCTAGTTTTTCTGTTCTTGGCTAAAAGGAGAAGGGAGAAGTATAATGATACCTGGTGTTTAGAGGTAGGCGCTGATTGTTTTGGGATCATTCGGGATGTGGTAGGGTCACGGGAGACCTTTCTTTGTTGTTCTGCAAGCCGTTGCCTAGGATCAGATGACATAGGTCTTGAGGACGGTCTCTGAGTACTTTGAATAGAACTCTTTCCCGCCGAGATAGAGGGTTTTCTATCCAATGACGACTTCGAGGGTAAAGGCTTAGAAGTGGACACCGACCGAGTAGGACCGACTCCATGGCCGCTGCTGCTCATCTGCCTCCTATGATCCATCGGCAGTTTGGCAGGAGCTGATCTTTGGGGGTCTGTTCTGGAACTTGGCTGACCATTCCGGTTAGCTGATTGGCCATTCATCGAGGAACCTGGTGGTCTTGTTGGCGCTTGACGGTTCGTTGAGGAACCAGGTCTTTGGCTGCCCGAGGATGCAGCCCTTTGCTGCATTTGGCTACCAGAGGAAGCTGGTCTTGAATTCTGCATCTGGCTGCTGCCTGCCGGTCTCCCTGAGACAGGTCTCGACTGCATTTGGCTTCCAGAGGAAGCAGCCGGTCTTGAATTTTGCATTTGTCTGCCAGAGGAAGACGGTCTTGAATGATTCATTTGACTGCCTGATGAAGATGGTCTTGACTGCCCATTTGCTGAAACAACGGGTCTCTTCTCCTCACGAGGGGGACCGTGAATAGATCTACCATTGATACCTGATGATTGTTTAGGCCTCGCTGACAATTGAGCAGATCGAGACTCTTCAACATCAGCAAAAAACCTGTATAAGTTATCTCCATGAAAATGGTATGCTTTAAAGATCACTTATAGCAAACAAAGTTTTAGTAAACAAAACTTACCGGAGTTAGGAAAAGAGCCATTTCGAGACAGCGGTTCCCGCTTCGGAACAGGAAGCTCCGCATCATCGGAAAACAAGAAGGAATAGTCTCTTGTATCCTTAAGAGTCTCAACTTTCCTTTTCACGGCACTCACAACTTTAGGACGCTTCTCCTGGGAAGCATTCCTATCACCTGAACTGTTCGTTGGAGCAGGTCTTTTCTTCTACACACCAGAAACAAGTCCATCAGAACAAAAACAAAACATCTCCAGCTATCAAATGTGAAACAAAGAAGAGTAGGACACATACAGGTTGGTTAGAGTTTTTAATCTCGTTTTCTAGCAAGGACTTGCTTTCTTGTATAACCCTCGAGGATATAACAGGCCGTGAAGGTCCAAAAAAAGAACCGAAGCTGCAGGGGGAAAAAACACAAATTCAAAACATGGTTCCATGATGTTGTAATAACTTGTAAAAGAAAAGTTGCTACGACATACTCGTTATAAGGAAGTTTTTTCATCCTTCTGTCTTGTGAAGATTGAGCATTAACACTTCCTTTGCCCAACTTCTTCCTGATAGACTCTTTAATCTTTTGGCGCAACTCAAGATACTCCAACTCTTCCTTTGGAGGAACTTCTTGTTCTTCTTCCTCCTCATATTCATCCTCGTACTCATTCAATCCATTATCATCACTGTAATAGTCGTCATACCCAGCTTCCTCATCAAGGTCCTGCATTTACAACAGGGAATCAAATTATGAATCAAGTTAACATAGGTTAAAGTAAATTAGAAGGAAAAATAAAACAATTCTTACTTCTTCATAGCCATGCATCTTTGCTGAAAGATTTGCTACCAATTAGCCAACTCCTGCAAACAAAAAAATAACTAATTAATACATAATCTTCAACATATAAAATTAGGTTGTTTTGTGTAGAAAAAAAAATAAACGAAAATTTTGATAAGAAACAAAATATATCACGAATCATGCATAACAGATATAGAGATCATATGGATCAAATCTAAGAGATAAAGTAGATTGAAAAAATAACAATTTTCACGAAATTCAGGACCAAATTCATCACAAATAGATAGAAATAATCGAGCTTTAATCCCAACACACAGAAAACCCACAAAACTTGTTTCCAGATCTAAGATGAATCAACACAAATCGATAAAGATTGAGATCGGACTAATCGTCAAAACAAAGAAAAAACTTTTTTGATTCGATCTTAAACACCTTTTTACAGGAAACAAAGCCGAATTTAATCTCAATTTAAGGAATCGAATCAAAACAATCACAGATCTGATGAAAAAAAATTGAAAAAACGATGGATCTGACCGAAAATTACCTGAATCCGATCTGGAATCGACGAAAAGCGCGAGAAAACCGATGAGATCTGACGAGCCTGATTTGAGAGAGAAATAAAAAACACGAAAGAGAGCGAAGATGTGCGAGAAGAGACGGAAGCTGCGAAGAGATATAGGAGAAGAGGAGAGGGATGCGCTTTTTAGGTTTTCGGAGGGATAAAGAGGGAAACAAATGAAGTCGAAGGACCCAGAAACAAAAAAGGGGAGGAGGGGTGTTGCTAAAATGCGCCATCTTGCGCCTCTCATGCAATTCCTCAATCTCTTTCTCGCTCGCATATCTTCTCTCTTAAATGGCCAAATATTATTATTTAATTTTGGGATTTTTTTTTTTTGTTTTTGGTTAAACTTCTTCTCTCGAGGCTGTAACTGTTTCTCCGTCGGCGAGTCTCTGCCCACCAGTAATTTAGACCTTTTTTTAATAATAATTAAATAGCATTTGGAATTGAGATAAACATTTTTATATTAATTATTTTGGTTTTTTTGGCTAAATAATTATTTTGATTAGTTTGACAAAAGAATATTTTGGTTAGTATTTATAAAATAATATACCTTAAAATAGTTACATGGCATTATATTCATAGCCATATTATTATTTGAAATATCTATTACTATATTTAGGTATAGTTATATACAGAATATTGAGTTTTTCTTTTTTTAGGACAACTTAGTAGGCATGGGCATTCGGGATCCCATTCGGGTTTCGGTTTTGTCCAATCGGGTCTCGGTTCTTCGGGTTTATCAAAATCAGCCCCATTCGGATTATTTGAAAGTTCGGTTCGGGATCGGTTCGGGTTCTATCGGGTTCGGTTCGGGGTTAGTAAATCTTTAAAGAACCGGTACAACCCGTTATACTTTCGGATTCGGGTCCCAATCGGTTCTTTGGTTTAAAAATACTTGATTTGTACCTACTTTTTAACCAAAACATCGGTTCTTCGGATTTAAAATACCTAATGTGTAACTATTTTGTAACCAAAACATAAGTAAAATTTATTCAAAAATAAGAAAGAAACATCAAAGTTAATCATTCAAAATCAACTGAAAGGTTAACATAGTTATTAATAGAAAGAAAACCAAATAAATGAAAGCGTAAACGAAAATCAAGTTCTTAAAAAATGAGAAACATTATTCAATAATAACAAAACATTAATCTAAAAATTTCAAGTTTCAACCGCCACCTTCAACCATCAACCTTCATGTAATAGATAATTATTTATATGTTTAGTAATATCTTAAAATCTTTTGGATTTATATTAGGAATTAAGATCATGTTCAGTACATGTTCTTATTAAAAATTTTGAATGTTTCGGGTTCTATCGGATATCCATTTAATTTCGGGTTCGGTTCGGATAATACCCATAACCCGAAATACCATAAAACAAGATCCATTCGGTATTTAAATCGGGTTCGGATCGGTTCGGATTCATTTTTATCGGATCGGGTTCGGTTCGGGTTTTCGGGTTCGGTTTATTTGCCCAGCCCTACAACTTAGACTGAGTTGTTTTTGGAATTTTCAGTTTGTTGTATATTTCATAATTTATAAATAGCTAAAAATAATACTACCTCCCTAGGTATCTCTATGCTATAAATTGCATTTGATTTTCTTCTTGCAGATACGACACGTTGTAAACCACAAAAAAAAATCACTTTTATTAGTGGAGAAAATACATATTTATTTATTTATTCAAAAAAGGAAAATACATATTTATTATAAAACAATGATCCCAGAATTAGAATCTCAAATAGTAAAACCATTTTAGCCAGAAGCTAATTTAAATTTAAGTAAGTTTATGTATTATAAATGTAAGATTTAGTTCCCATATAAAATAAAAAAGCAATAATGTTTATATTTTTTTAATATATATAAACAGGACCATTAACTGTGGTATTACGTAGAAAAAATATAACTAACATCAATTTTAGTGATATACAATTGAATACAATGTTATGATAAAAAAATTATCAGAAAACAATATAATACGCATCTTTCTTTTTTCTGATCATTCTACATTGTATTTGATTTGTTCCTTAGTTAATATGGTTAATGGGAATTTTAACTGAAGCCTAATGTATATAGATAAATAAACTGTTTACGTTTTGGGTTTTGTCTTTTTTTTTTCTTTGAAAAACCCAATTGATCAAATGTGTTAGCCAAATGATCAAGGTGTGGTTGCCTTTGAATAAATCGACCGACTGGTGAGCGAAACGCTTATCGCTTAGTAACTATTTTGTTCTCTCTCCTTTGGTGATCTACAGTGATCAGAAAGGAGATGATATCAATATTGTGTTGTATGAATCTTCATTATTAATTTCTACAACAGAACGCAATCCTCCAACAATTGATGTATTATGCGATGGAGAAGATAGACAAAAAGCAAGAGAATTATGAAAGATTAACACAAATATTTATTAATATCAACTATTTTTTCATCAGTTTTTACATCCCTTCGGATAAATGTTCCTGGAGACTAGGTCTGGGCGTAAATACCCGTAATCGATAACCGAACCTTATACCGACCCAAAATCTCGGTTCTGGATCGAGTACGGTTGTGAGCAAATACCCGAATGGGTTTTGATTTTCTAATGTTACAGTTATCGGGTCGGTTCGGGATTGAACCGCAATCCGATTATAAAACCGTAGTTAACCGAGACCACTTATTAAGCCGACAGAAAAGAGGTTTCATTTAGTGGGGATTCTTCGTCTTCTCCGAACCCGTGGTGGCAAACCCTAGTTCCAATACCGAACCTCCTCGATTCAATCTGAAGCTTCTGCGTAATCGATGAAGATGGCCATTATATATAACCTTACCTCTGATCCTTTCAATCCATCCGAGCCTTCTGTCTTTTCTACAACTTATTCAGAGGTTAGCCTTTCAAATCGAAAGCTTCTTTTTTTAATCAATTAGGTTTTGATGTTCGGTTTATACATCGATTGGTTTCTGTATATTTGTTTTTATCGCATTGTTTGATTGTTTTGAAGATCACTTTCACATTATCAAAGCCTTTGTGGTGATAATATTTTCTAATTGTCAAAGTATACGCTTGTTAGTAGTATTACAATCTGATTGTCAAAGTCTTTGTTGATCGCTTTGTTGTATATAATATTGTCTGATATGATTCTTTATTGTTGTAGATGGATTCAAATTTTTCTGTTGATCATGATACAAGTTCTAAAGAAAATGAGAGGGAGTTCGAAAATCCAGACAGCACTAACATTACAAAGCCTGGTGCGACTTCAGGGAAGAGGAAAGAGACTCCACAATCTACTGCTGCAAGTTCTCAACCAAGTAAAGTGAAGAGGCTTCTCCCAACAAGATCAGAAGTATGGGATCATTTCACAAGGACTAAGGAGAACAAAGACATGTGTTTTTGCACCTACTGCCAGAATAGTTTCTCGTGTCTCACCACATCAGGGACATCCAACCTCAAGAAGCATTTGGAAATCTGCAAAAACCATCAAGCGTGGTTAGCTGGCCAGTCTGAACGACAAGAAGGCATTGACAAAGAAGGGAAGCTGAAGCCAGCTAAGCTAACTGATGATGTGTTCAGAGAAGGTACAAATGAGATGTTGGTTTTGGGACAAATGCCGTTATCATTTGTTGAAAGCGCGGCATGGAAGCATTTTTGTGACAAGGTATGGACTTAGTGTTTGTTCTTATGGTTGTTTCAGACATACAATAGCTATATCTAATGGTATTGCATTTGTTTGTAGGCAAAGCTGCCTGCTCGTCATTCAAGAAGAACTGCAACTAAAGATATTGTGAAGATGTACGTGGAAGGAGTCACTTAAGAAATGGTTTGTGTGTAACAAACAACGTGTCTCTCTTACAACAGACATTTGGGTTTCCCAAGTCACAGGTGATCGCAATTACATAAGTCAATCTTATAGTTTACAATTTTATGATATTAATTTGCATTGTCTTTTCTGATCTTTGCAGGTGCTAGTTACATGGTGGTCACAGTGCATTTCATTGACACTTTCTGGAGGTTAAGGAAGCTGATCATTGGATTCAAGCACATCAAAGATCACAAAGGTCAGACAATTGCTTCTATCTTACTAGAATGCTTGGCTGAGTGGGGAATTGAGAGGGTATTCTGTGTAACCGTAGACAATGCGACAACCAATAGTTCTGCTTTGAGAAAGTTTCACAGTGCATTTGCCTTAGTTTCTGATGATTCCCTGGTCTTAGATTGCTCATATTTGCACATGAGATGTAGCGCTCACATTATTAATCTGATTGTGAAAGATGGTATGGCTGAGATTGATCATTCAGTGGTTGCTGTGCGTAATGCAATCTCGTATGTCAGATCACATACAAATAGATTGAGGTCTTTTGAGTGTAAGGTTGATTCAGGGAAGATTACAAGAGGCAGCTTACCTTTGGATGTCAAGACAAGATGGAACTCCACCTATTTGATGTTGTCAACAGCGCAGAAGTTCAAAATTGCCTTAGACAAGATGGAGATTGAAGACAAGCTCTACAATGACTTCTTCTTTGAGTTTGAGAACGGTGCAAAGAGGATTGGTCCTCCACAACTAAAGGATTGGAATGACATTGATAAGCTTTGCAGGTTTCTCATTATCTTCTACAACTCGACCTTGGTGGTGTCTGCTTCAAGTTCTGTCAATGCCCATAGGTGTTACAGTGAGATTGTAATTATAGCAACCAATCTGATGGACCTCTCCAACAGCCCTAACCCTGATTTGCAGACTAAGGCAGCACATATGTTCAAAAAGTTCGACAAATACTGGGATGGCATGAAGAATATGAACATGATGCTGGTTGTTGCGACTGTGTTCGACCCTAGTAATAAGCTGGAGCTTGCCAAGATGTGCTTTGAAGAATTGTATGGCAAAGACATTGTCGAGTACAATGACATGTACGATTCGTTGCTCAGTCTTCTAAGGTGTTTGTTCAAAGAATACAAAGCAAGGCATGGAAATGATGATGATCCAGGTGACTAGTCCTCTCAGTCTACGGTGAGATCTCAGTGTAAGGAGCAATGCATTGAAAGAATGGAGATAGTGGACGATACACCAGGGTACAAGAGGATTGATTTGAGGTACAAGCAGAAGCTTAATGAGATGGGTGTTAGAGAGAAAAGGGATGAGCTGGAGACATATCTCAAAGAAAGTGTGGAATCTCAGAATCTGATGACAGGAATGGAGTTGGATGTGCTTTCATGGTGGAGAAAAAACAAAGGTAAGTTCCCTGTTTTGTCTGAGATTGCACGAGATGTTCTTGCCATGCAAGTATCTTCTGTAGCTTCCGAGAGTGCGTTCAATACTTGTGGTAGGATTATTGATCCACATATGAGCTCTCTAACCCATTACATGGTTGAGGTTCTTATGTGTACAGAGCAGTGGCTCAAAGAAGACTTGAAGATGGTGACAAGGGAGCTTACAAATGAACAAGTTCTAGCTGATCTTGAAGAGGTGGACCGCCTGGAAAGAGGTAACAACATTGTCAATCTAGTCTTTCTTTATTTACAATCTCATAACATGATTGTAATGCAAGTTTCTTATCTTCTTTTCTGCAGAGAATGGAAACACAATAATCCCACATGAAGAGTAGAAGACTTAGCAATTTCAGCTTGATACATTGAACTCATTTCAAATTTTCTTTATGTTTCGGCTTTGATCTTTATGTTATCGGCTTTTATCTTTTGGAGTATGCTACATTGAACGTTTGTTGTGTGTTTTTGGTTCGTTTGAACCCATGTTTGTGTAAGATTTGTGGTCTTGGTGTGTTTGACCACAAATCTATGAATGTTTCGGTTTTTTTTCAGTTACTCTCGGTTTAATTTCGGTTATTTCAGTTATTTTCGGTTATTTTGGTTTAGTTATACTTGTTTGCATTCTTTTCGGTTTTAAAATCCGAAACCGAACCGAGCCCATTAAAATTTCGGACTAATGGGTTTTATGTTTTGTGACCGGTCCGACCCGAATCCATTTGATTCCGAACCGAGTCCATTCTTAGATTGTATAATAACCGAATGGGACTTCTATTCTCATAACCGAAGAACCGAAAACCCATTTCCCCCGACCCGAACCCGAATGGGGGACCGAACGCCCAGGCCTACTGGAGACTACATCAATAGTAATCTTATTGATTGTTACATCAGTGATACTTCCCGAAATGCTGATCCGATTTGTCAACGGATCATTTTCAATCTCTTCTGATTACATATCGAAACCGTTGTAAGAAATGTTGCATGGGCTACATCTACTATGCATCTGTTATCTCCGATGTGGTCTCTATATCCATAATCAATGACCATTCTTTTTGGGTTTTGAAAGATAGTTTAGGTATTCATATACCAAAACTAACGAGATGTTATCACAATCATTTCTTTTTATCTTTTTATTATTGATGGCAGATAACTCTGCCAAAAAAATTACAATACAAGATGAAAGTACTTATTCTTTTCTGGCAATGAAGGTTTCAAAAGCCATACTGCAATACAATACAATTGTATCAAATAACGGAACACTCTAGCTTTTATTAAATTCATAGCAACCATCATCGATGAAACCGAGGTTTAGAGTTTGGAATATTTTTTTTGTATGGCAATATCCGTACAATTATTGAAAATTGATGATTTCAATTGTTTATATTTTGTCGGATGAATCAATATATTGAATTTTAATCCGAAAAATATCTATAATTCTTTTTTGAGATTTGATCAGTATTATACAACAGAAGAAACTGATGTTTATAATGTGACATGAACTTAATGAAAAAGATCGCAAGAAGAGTAAAAGTGTTGGTTCTTTCCTAATAAAAAAGACCTTTTAAGAAGAACAAGTCATATTTTTCTTGGTGTGATCTGTTGTCTTTGTATTATTTTATCTATATTTGTTGTTTTATTATTGTTTGTATGTTGTATGCTAAAAGAAAAAAAGTTATGTTGTATGCTTTTAACCATATAAAAATGAAATAGTTGATAAAAACAAAATCAACCGACTGGTGTCTGTTCATTGGTGTTTATTCTGTAGTTTTCTGTTTATTAACATTTAGAATATCTTTTGTTTTTTTTTGTGAATCAGTAAGTACGACAGTATAACTGTTAACTGATATCCAAGAGCCACTTTAGAAATGAACAAAATAATAGTAAGATTTTCACATTAATTTCATAAAATTCGCCAATGCATGTTCTGAATCTGAGGTTAATATTTCTAGATCTCAGATTCATCAACGTCGTGATCTAAATCAGAGAGACGAATTAATTATAATAGATACCATGAAATACACGAGATGTATATACATTTTAAATAAGATTATTATTATTTGGTTCCGTTACAACCATAACTCAAAGCTCAAAGAAAAAAGAAAAAACAACCATAATTACCTCCATAAATTAAGTATTGTAATATTTGGTACATAGCTCCTTTGAAAGGAGACAAAATATCAAAAGCTGTGTACACCACCAAACAAACACGTTGCTACTACATTATACTATTATACTTATATACTTATATATGTATAATATGGTATTGTCAGGCATCTATCGAGTCCTTATATTATATACAAGGCTCTTCGGAATCGTCAGTCATCTCTCTACGAAACAAAGCTTAAAAATGGCTATCTTACTCTGTTTCTTCTTGGTTTTGCTTCTAACTCTTGTATCATCAATATTTCTTAAAAAGATGACAAACTCAAAGTTTAATCTTCCTCCGAGCCCTTCAAGTCTTCCAATAATTGGAAACTTACACCATCTTGCAGGATTGCCTCACAGATGTTTTCATAACCTCTCCAAGAAATACGGACCAGTGATGCTTCTCCGTCTCGGTTCGGTTCCAGTGGTTATTATCACATCGAGTGAAGCAGCTGAAGCAGTTCTCAAAACTCATGACCTGGAATGTTGTAGCCGACCAAAGACGTTGGGGACCGGAAAACTATCTTACGGCTTCAAAGACATCGCTCTCTCGCAGTACGGTGCGTATTGGCGGGAAATGCGAAAACTCGCGGTGATCGAGCTTTTTAGCCTTAAAAGGGTTCAATCCTTTAGGTATATCAGAGAGGAAGAGATTGGACTTGTGGTGAAGAAAGTGTCTGAATCGGCTTTGACACAGTCTCCTGTAGACTTAAGCAAAACCTTTTTCTCACTCACCGCAAGTATCATTTGCAGAGTAGCTTTAGGACAGAACTTCAACGAGGATGGCTTTGTTATCGATCAAGAAAGGATCGAAGAACTTATTACCGAAGCAACCATAGCTATAGGGGCTTTCACATTCTCTGACTTCTTCCCTGGTGCACTTGGAAGATTCCTAGATTTGTTGTTTCAGCGACATAAGAAGATCAACAAAGTCTTTGAAGAGCTTGATGCTTTTTATCAGCATGTGATTGATGACCACTTGAAGCCAGAAGGAAGGAAAGATCCAGACATCGTTTCCTTGATGTTGGATATGATTGATAAACAAGGAAATGAAGATTCTTTCAAACTCAGTATTGATAATGTCAAGGCTATCCTCATGGTAAAACCCTCAAAAACTTTGGTTTGTGTTCAACCACATGATTAGCTTAATAACAACAATATATTATTTGTGTTATGTGATATTCAGAATGTATTTCTTGCGGGGATAGATACAAGCGCTGTAACAATGATTTGGGCGATGTCAGAACTCGTTAGAAACCCTAGAGCAATGAAGAAAGCTCAGGAAATGATTAGAAGCACCCTTGGGGACAAAAGGGAAATAATCACAGAAGATGATCTAGGCAAAGTTGATTACTTGAAGCTCATAATCAAGGAAACATTCAGACTACATCCAGCACTTCCATTTATACTTCCAAGAGAAACAATGTCTCACGTCAAGATCCAAGGCTACGATATTCCCCCGAAGACGCAAATTCAAATTAACGTATGGACAATCGGACGTGACCCCGAGCGTTGGACCGACCCTGAAGATTTCATCCCTGAACGGTTTACGGATAGCTCTGTAGATTTCAGAGGACAACATTTTGAGCTGTTACCGTTTGGTTCTGGTCGGAGGATGTGTCCAGCGATGCCAATGGGGGTTGCTACCGTGGAGCTAGGATTGATGAATCTGCTTTACTTTTTCGATTGGGCATTGCCTGATGGGATGAACTTTGGAGACATTGATATGGAAGAAGCTGGTAATATCTCCATTGTCAAAAAAGTACCTCTTCAACTTGTGCCCTTTCAACGTTATCGATGTGGAGACTAAAAAGGTTGATACCATGGAAAAGTTCACGAGCAGGCAATGTACGATTTCTTAGATATTGTTGCGTTATGTTTCTTTTGAAAAAAAATATTGTTGTTTATGTAAGAAGTGATATTTGAACAAAAAAATATAGCAGGAAATAATAAAATGTGTTCATCATCTACTCTATTAAAACAGAGTCATTCTTTTTATCTACTAATATAAGTTGTCATTTAAATTTGAATCCTTTATAGAGTATTACAAATATGTAACACAAGCCATATAATTAATTAAACCAGATTACTTAAATTATACCGATGGTTATTTATGATACATAGTCTTGGGCTTACTTTTGTTTTTAGAACAAATTATATAGTTTGGTTTTTGGGCTTAGTATTAAGGAAAAACTCCAAAAACATTGAATAAACTTTACATCTTAATAGATAAAAAAGCAATTATTATTTTTAGGCCCAAAAGGTATTTAATATTTTTAACAAAACCAAATTATCTATTATTAATCATTTATTTAAATCATGTACTTTAAAACATGTTAATGTATTTTTTATTTTAAATAACAATCACTTTATTTTGATAAATTTCAATGGTAACTTTTAAATAATTTATTGTTTTATTTTTCTTAAATAATTTACTGATTTAAAAATTGTAAAGCAAAACCAAAAACCAAAAACCAAATCTAAAAACCAAAAGCTGAAAACACAAGTTATATTTTTTTTCTGGGAAATTGCCAAAAATAACATTTTCAAGGTACCATTTTTCAACTTTACACTAACCAACTTTACCACTAAAATTTTAATAGTCAAAATACTATTAGAATTTAGGGTTTAGGGTTTTGGGTTTATGATTGATAGTTTAGGGTTTATTGTTGATTTTTAGGGTTTAGGGTTTACTTTTTAGAGTTTAGAGTTTAGGGTTTAAGGTTTAGAATTGATATTTTAGGGTTTAGGGTTGATTTTTAGGGTTTAGGGTTTACTTTTTAGGGTCTAGAGTTTAGAATTGNCAAAATACTATTAGAATTTAGGGTTTAGGGTTTTGGGTTTATGATTGATAGTTTAGGGTTTATTGTTGATTTTTAGGGTTTAGGGTTTACTTTTTAGAGTTTAGAGTTTAGGGTTTAAGGTTTAGAATTGATATTTTAGGGTTTAGGGTTGATTTTTAGGGTTTAGGGTTTACTTTTTAGGGTCTAGAGTTTAGAATTGATGTTTTAGGGGTTAGGTTTAATATTTTATTTAATATTTATTTTATGTATATATATAAAAAACAAGGATATAAGAGTCTTTTATCCTTTAATAAAATATGTATTTTTGAAAATGTTTCTTTGTTGATGGTAAACATGAAAAGTGGTACCACCAAAGTGGTATAATTGAAATTCTCCCTTTTTTTCTTTTGTTTATTTACAAAATAAACTATTGCGAATTTTTTTGTCATCTTTTCAGTTTTAAATTAGATGTTCAATTATTTAGAATTTGTTTGTTGGTAATATCAGTTCAAACTAACTCAACGGGTCTAAAAATTAAAAATACAAACCAAAAGCTAAAAATCAAAAGTAGAAACTTAAAAACTAAAAACCAAAATCTAAACCAAAATCTAAAACAAAATCTAAAAATAAAAACTGAAGCTAAAAAATAATGAAAAACAATCATCACCACAAATTTTGGTGAACTGATTTTATACCAAAACATTCTTTAAATTAAGATAAAACCCAATTATATAAATTTTTAATCATAAAAAAATTCTACTCTATTAAAACAGAGTCATTCTTTTTATTTACTGATACAAGTTGTCATTTAAATTTGGACCCTTTATAGAGTATTACAAATATATAACACAAGCCATATAATTAATTAAACGAGATTACTTAAATTAAACCGATGATTATTTATGATATATAGTCTTGGGCTTAGTTTTGTTTTTAGAACAAATTATATAGTTTGGTTTTTGAGCTTAATATTAAGGAAAAACTCCAAAAACATTGAATAAAATTTACACCTTAATAGATAAAAAATCAATTATTATTTTTAGGCACAAAAGGTATTTAATATTATTAACAAAACAAAATTATCTATTATTAATCATTTATTTAAATCATGTACTTTAAAACATGTTAATGTATTTTTTATTTTAAATAACAATCACTTTATTTTGATAAATTTCAGTGGTAACTTTTAAATAATTTATTGTTTTATTTTTCTTAAATAATTTACTGATTTTAAAAAAATGTAAAGCAAAACCAAAAAACAAAAACCAAAAACCAAATCTAAAAACCAAAAGCTGAAAACACAAGTTATATTTTTTTGCTTTGGTTATTTACAAAATAAACTATTGCGAATTGTTTTTGTCATCTTTTCAGTTTTAAATTAGATGTTCGATTATTAGAATTTGTTTGTTGGTAATATCAGTTCAAACTAACTCAACGGGTCTAAAAATTAAAAACACAAACCAAAAGCTGAAAATCAAAAGTAGAAACTTAAAAACTAAAAACCAATATCTAAAACAAAATCTAAAAATAAAAACTGAAACTAAAACCTAATGAAAAACAATCATCACCAAAAAATTTGGTGAACTGATTTTATACCAAAACATTCTTTAAATTAAGATAAAACTCAACTATATAAATTTTTAATCATAAAAAATTTCCGCGCTTTCAAGCGCGGGTCAAAATCTAGTTACTATTAAAGCATAAAAACTTTACTTTACCATGTTATATTATAGTTTTGCCATCGACTTTCTTTAAATTGGTACACATTTCAATTTTGCAAGCATGTTAAATTTATGTTCAACCGATTATCATTTAAGCATTGTTGAAATGAATCACATGAAGTATGTTCACCTTATATTATAATTAGGGGTTGACCCACCTACCTTATACTATAACTAAGGATTAGGTAATAACCCGCGCCCTGCGCGGAGTGAAATGCTTATTTGAATCTATATAGTAGATATACATGTTTTAACAGAAATATATGTAGGTAAATCAAAAAGGAGATTTGGTCATCTACGACACCTTGTTCTTATCTAGTTTCATGTTAGAATCAATAAGGACTATCTCAATCGTGAGACCACCAGCCGCAAAGTATTGTTTTCAAGTCTAATTAACTTCGCTTTGATCTTCATGGATTTGTATGGCTTCAGCTCTGAAACATTTTTGGTAAAAAAAAAATAATGTGAAACAGGGTTGTATGTGCCATTCAAAGTAAAGGAGAGATAACTTTGTCTTGGCTCATTCACTTCGTCTTATATAGTGTTATGATAATATTGTTGCATTTATGAGAAATATCAGCTTATTTAAATTTAGAATCAGTAAAGTTTCCACAATTGTAGCATATGTTCCTTATATATGTAAAATAAATAAATGATGTTTTAATATTTAGAAAAACGGCAGCAATTTCTTCTCTAATAACTCATGTACGAAATATACTACTGGTAGGAATAGGAAATGAAATACTCGTTATTCATGATCTCATTAAATGGAATTATGCACTAACGTAGAAATATATTATGTTACCATACTGACTCCGGAAATTTAGTGAAAGAACAAATCATTACGCTTCAGGTATTTAATGGAATTAAAATTATTACCCATTGACCAAGTAAAATAATCATATAAGGATAGTTAACTAACATTAATTTCGAATATTCAACTATATTTATAAAAATAAATGAAGTTCTATAAAAAAAAGTGTACAAAAATGAATTCTACATACTAACCAACTAATATTTATAAAATTAAATATTACCCATTGACCAAGTAAGCTAAATATATTATGCTAAACTATATTTTATATGAGATTTAGATATGCTGCTTATCAAATAAGAGATGCATTTTGATTAGTACCACGTTAGCAAGTTTGATATTTAATATCGAAAACATTTTGATATTTATTTTATTTTAACCAAAGTGGATTAATTTACCCACATTATAAACCATATACCATAGAAGCAGAAAATATTTTACCAGTAAACAAACAATGTTCTTTAGATTATTGATAACAACCTTGGTTTCGATATTTAGAATTTTGTAAAAATAAAACCAAGCAAATAATGAATATATAAAAGCTTGGTCAATACCAACATTGAATTATCCAATTTTAGTATTTTTAAAACTGAATGGTGTGTTGTAATTATTCATTGACGTACAAAATCTTCTTTATCTATGATTTTTTGTGAACACAAATGATATATGTTTCTTATACAAAATTTTACGTGTTGAAATAAATTGCAGATTACAGACGAATTGTTTAAATGTAATGTTTTCGTAAGTAGTCTTACAATTTTTATTTCAATATATGCAATATTTTTGAATAAACCATTCATAAACATATAATGTTCTGTGATTGTTTGTAACATCGATGATCTATGTTTCTAGTACTCATAAACAAAATAAATCATATAGGTGATGTAACGCCAAATTTACATAATAATAAAATTAACCATGGAAAATTTTATCTCTTGACCAATTCATAAACATGATACAATGCATTTTATTAGAATCGGTTTGTAAACTGATTTTTCATAATCGATTAGACAATCTTTTATAATTCAAGGGAGTAGCATTAATAAAATTACATATGTCCAATGGCACACCACTGTAAATAGTCTAGTAATTTATGTCTACTTTAATAATTGGGCTGAGAGAGCTTGTGAGAATGCCACATCAGGAATGACAATTTTGTTAATCACACATGAAGATAAGGTTTATTATTAAAAGTGCTTCCCTTTTAATATATAAGGGATTGACCCACCTTACACAGACTGATAAGTAAATAAACGAATAATATATAAACATTTTAAAATGTAATGAATATTAACAAAAATAAGTATACTCTCTTAATGTTAACGTTTACTATTTGTTTTATTATTCTTATTAGACATCGAAAGTATATTTCACCCGTAAAAAAGATTCACTAAAACATAATTGTTTTACATATTATCAATATTTTCTCTATCTTAATTATGATAGTAAGTTGTATTCTTTTTGAAACTGTGATAATTGAGGTAAATATGAAAACATGTATTAGTTTTTCATTTTGTATGTTAGTTTATTGAAGATATTTCTTTGTTAATATATATATATATATACATATATATATATATATATTGATGGTTTAAACGATGTGAAAATAGTCGAT